GGAATATCAGCCTGTCGAGAGACTGCAAATTTCCTAAGAAATGATGATGAGAGATATAGCAAAAAAAATTTACAACACAAATATCCTTGCATAATTAATTTATAGATTTATGTCACAAACACCTGGCGAATGTTCAAGTACACCAATTTTATATCTAAAATGTATTTAATGTACTTTTTCAGATTAAACCAGAACTTTTTCTTAGGGTCTCTGCGCCGAATAAGACAGAATATTGTCTTATTTTCGCAAGGGATTCATTTTGGCAACATGGTTTGATTACTTTTGCATGCACTATGATTCGGAAGCATTGGGGGGGGGGGGAATGGAAAGGGCACGACTCAAAAAAGTGCGACTGCAATATCTCCTGTTTGAGGAAAATAGCACGCAAACACAGATCCAGCGGGAACTAGGAGTAACGCGATGGTTCAGCGGAGGATCAGGCAGAGTGGGTGCGCGAATGTGACCGTCGTTCGAGGGCTTTGGCATAGTTTCCCAAATATAAAGTAACGCGTTTCAATTTCCCCTTGTAAAGAGAACCAATAATAAATATTTTTTTGTTGGATAGTCGGTTTCTGGACAGTCCGATCCCCTCGAATTGATCTTCACTCGAAAGAAGGCTACCAAGCTTCAGTTCTAAGTTGTGTGCTTGCGCCTAAACATATGAAAGCTCATTTGACACTTGATTTACTTACCCAGTAGCCACATTTTGCTCGGCAACACTCTCTTTTAAAATACATCCTTATTAAAGAATTCAGCCCTTTTTATTCACTATTTTTTTTTATTTTTTAATCCTAGAAATGACAGAAAATTGGAAATGAATCATAGTGGCTAAAGGGGCCTTCAACTCCATGATTTTAGTCGGATCTTCAGACTATTGAATGCACTTTTTAAGGAACACATGAAAAATTAATTAGAACCAGGATGGTTTATGATACTTTTTAACCCGAGAGTCTGCTTAATGAGTTAGTGGAAAGGTTCGTGCGTGCAGTGCTGTTTTTTATGCAGTTTATTGCGCGTCCATTAGGGGAATACCAAGTGGGCTTCCCTCACAAATCTGTCGGACGGACCATTGTAAGAACCGTCTGTGCTCATTTTAAGAGGCTGAGGATCTCCCTTTTCTGAGGTTTGACGATTGATAGGACAAGTGTGAACAAAATAAGAAAATTTACAGCATTACACATTTAAATTAGCTATTTGGTCAAAGGATTTGCAAATATCATGTTTTTGTTTAAATAGGTCTTAAATCGTAATATGCGCTAGGATCTCAATTTTTTTTCAATTTTCGTTTGATTTTCTTTTTCGAGAAAGGTCTGCTAGGATTAGAAGCAGAATAATTACCACTTTCACTGGTGTCCGTTGCGAATAAACGCGGGAAGAAATGTTTAAGAAATTTAAGCATTTTAAACCGGTCAGGATGATACAGGTCTTAGCCATTTCCATTTATGCGCCTAACAAAAATGTGGAAAAAATGCCGCTGATTAGAATGTCCGATTTAGAACCCTCTTAGAACCTTGTAAGAATAATGTAGCCATCCCGACTTGAAACATTCACACCTCCGAAACTGACGGTTGCCATGTTAACCTCGGTGCGATCGAAAGTACCCCATTTTTGAAGTGCGGCAAACGACAGTTGCTCTGCGCAATGTGAAATACAATCACCCCAAATTTCTACATGATTTACCACCGCGCAATCTGTTCGTTGGGGTTTTCCGAATGCAATACAAGGAGAGCCACTCTTAATGGCCACTTTTGTTTAGTCTACACCTTGTAAAAAAATTTTCCAAACACAAACGCTTGATTAAAAAAGTACTCCTTAAGAAAAATTCGCACCCGTCTGTCAAGCGCTTAGTGCAATTCGCAAAGTGCTCTTATTTCTGAGCTATGCTCGTTTAATCTGCCTGCCTTATTAGTGCACACCCAGCAACATCCTTATGTCTGGCTTCGCTCCAGTTAAGAGCATATTTGTAGTTTGTGGGTATTGTCAAAAGTTGAGTACAGACTATAAGTTACAATACACGCTTTTCCATAACTACAAGCGACCCCATTTTCCGAAGCCTCGTAGCCTCTCTCTATCAAGCAATATTTTATGATCTGAAAGAACTCTCCAGACGTCTGGTCGAAAAAAGTGCTCAAGACGCATTTCGAATGCCAAAAAAGAAAAACAAATTCCTTCCAAAACGCAGAACCTGGAAGAAGTCTAAAAAGGTTAAAGCAAGTGAATAAAGTCAGTCAGGGAAAACATCGCAGTCTAACTGTGATGGTTTTCGCCGGACAGCTAAATGCACACGCATTATGAAGCAATCACAATGGTCTGTGGTTTCTGCTTTAATGGAGGCGCTGTGTCTGTTGATGTAGCCATGACTTTTGATCTTGTAGAGGCAACTCAAAGTGCAAACTGGTGACCATTTTTTGTTCCTATTTAATACATAGCTTATCCTTCCAACATCAGTAAGTCTAATTTTATGATAATTTCCTGGGCTGTCCTCAGATTTTGTAATTCTAAACTGGCACACCTAAAGACTATTTCAGTTTATCCGGTAGTTCCTGTTTGCCTATTCACTCTACGACATGTGTATGTCTATTATTCCTCCTCCCTGGAACAATGAAAGGATTGTTTCATGTTGCAGGCACCCAACTTTACTAACCAATAAATTGAGACGTGTATTCGTTAGTTCACTTTGAGGGAGGAAGAGGGAAATCTAGGTAAGGTATGAAACAAAACTTGATCGAGGTGATGGAGAAGTATTGCTTAGTTTTGGTTCAGATTAATGGGAAAGCATTTCAGTTCCAGATTCATAAAAAAGTTTAACTGTTCACCATGCAGCATTTATGCACGGATCAAAGAGAACTTAGTTCATTGTTTAATGAAAAATATGTGTAGGTTATAATTGCAAACACCAAATTTTGTCGTTCAACAACCTTCGTTTTAAACATTACCTTGCGAGAAAACGGATGAACGGTTGTCCACACGTTTTTTTGAGAAGCTGCCTTTAGAGATGAAACAGCATAAACAAGGAACAAGCAATTTTGCGGCGCGATAGATGTTAGCTGTGCGCCAGCGTCTGATGATACAAATCGCGCTGCCCAACCACAACAACCTTGCAAACCTGCTGGTTAACCACCGATTGCGACAATTCCCGACTTTTATTCACCCTGGGACAGGGCCAAGGCGCAGAATGGTGGTTTAATTCTGTACACGAATCAGTAGACGGATATCTCAGTATCGGTTCGGGATCTTCTGACGTAACAGCCAGTTACCAAGGCGAGTGCACATACGCAAATTTAGCACGACAAATTAAAAATGAGGTCTTCCTCTACACCTATCAGTTGCATCCAGTTATTTCACACTAAACTAACGACGTCATTTTCCCACAACCAGGCACCTATTTTTGTCCCAATGTAATTACTTCCACAGACGCAAATCACTAAAAACCTCCTCGAAACCCAAGTTTGTCATAAATGGTTCGCTTCAGGCAGACCTGAGGCGGTGAGCAAGCTTCACGAGATGCCCATTGATTTCTCACACTCAAAGAAGACGGTAGAATGGCGACAATTTACTCACGAGGTGGGCGTGTGTGCGCGTGCGTGGGCGTGTTTATGAAGGACATGTGAAGAGGAACCAATGAGCAGCGGGGGTGAGTCATGGAGACAGTCAGCCTGTTGTTCGAACGAGCTTCCACTTGGAGACGTTCGCTGACGGTCCGCCACAGAGCCATGGTGGATTTTGAACTTCTTCACGGACAACCGAACACTATGCGACTGTTCTTTAAATTCTCTGGCTACTTGTACACGAATATCAAGTCAGAAGGTTTTGATAAATGTCTGAACCAAACCTGTCCTCAGACGTCAATAAGCAAATTCTTTCTCTATACATTTTTTCCAGAGAGAGTTTGCAAGAAAGCTAGTTCCACTCTTTCTTGCGCATTCGAAGTATTGACAATGGATGAAGTGTATCATTACATTTGAATTGATCAGACATTAAAAATTTCTTTTTATTGTGTTCAGATCATGCTCCCACCTAGAAATGCCAGTTAATCTTGAGTTTGATTGTCAAGAATTGAACTCGGAGGTAAAACGCAACAACGCATTGATGTTGAGACACCTGAATTTCAAACTTTTGCATTCTGGCAATACTTTGAAATAGTTCAAAACTATCACCATCATCAACAATGTCTATTGAGGCATATGCTAGGTTCCCGGTCAAAGCAAAATATTTTTGCTAACATGCACCAAACCACTTCCGCAAACCAGTTCTTACACCGAGACCATCAGATAGAACATCAAAACAAATATTTCAAAAGCCTTTTTTGAGTCTGACCAAGAGGTTGATCCAGACTAAAAATGCCGCTTCTGGTCTCAAAAGTCCATAATACTCTATTTTCCAATTATTGCGACTGGAAATTGGCCTTTTTGTTTAAAATCATATCTTTGCCTGACCCAAAATTGATTTTCAGTTTCGGATTCACGGTTTCGAATTTGGCTACACAACAAAGAAAAAATCACCTGCTTAAGAAAGTTTACCAAAATGTGAATGAAACGATCACGAAGAACACTTTAAGTGTTATCCAGTTGATATTTTTTCATCGCAACTTTAATTTGTGAACGATGTAACCATGTCTTTTCAAATCTAACTGACGTACTTGAAGGTGTGATCCTCTAACATCTGGGGCAAAAATCGGCCACAGTTCTCCTTGATTTTAAACTTCGTCGTTCACTTATATAAACTGTGCTTCTATAGCCGAAAATTTGGCTGGTGCATTTTACAGACGCAGCTGATTGGTCCAGCGCAGAGAGTAAAATAAACCCATGTTAACCAATCACATTTGAAATCCCTTTTTGCACGCGGTGTTCAAGTGGACAGACGACAACTACGAGGGATAAAATAATTATAGAATGAGTGAAGCGATCACCAAGCCGTAGCTCTGCTATGTACCTTCTTCTCCTACGGTTGCCTCTAGTTCACTTTCATGGAGTATCTTAGATCTTCACACACACCTTTCCATGCAAACCAGAGTATTTTTGATCCTTTCCTGCATCTCCTGCTGTTACTACCTTGTCAGTGCTAAGTTTATCGAATTGATATTTCATGTGACGGAGCACACGGAGCCAAATAAATGGATTGGAAACCTGTTTCATTCTATCTCACTGACTAATCTTAACGTCCGCTCAGTAAACATTGAATCCCCGCCAATGGATGAATGGCATCATCTTGTACATATCGACACGATCAATGGCGATATCCGAACGGCCTCTGAAAGCTTCAGCACCTTGGACCGAGAGAAGATTTGCCCTGTTGAACCCTTCGGAAAACCGGTGCTTGACTGCCGAATCTCCCTTTTGATATCTGTTGACCAAAAACTTCTGGTTTCATTACACATTATTGTCGACGATGTTAATGACTCACCACCCGTATTCCTTCAGAATGGGCAAATCGTCAATGAAATCTCCCTAAGGCTTCCAGAAACGGCTGAACCCGGTTCTACCACCGTTGAACTTCCTGCCGCCATCGATCCAGATCTTACGTCGGCAAACTCTCCTGTTATATATAACCTCATCGGAGAAAACGTACCCTTTTCGTTGACAGTATCTGGCTTGCCCAAGCTTATTGTATCCTCTCCTCTCGATTACGAGAGGACCCAAACGTACCTTTTTTTTCTACAAGCCTGTGAAGGACGCCAGGCAAGTCACTTGTGTTCCTCCATTCAGGTTTCTGTACACATCGACAATGTTAATGACCATAAGCCTATTTTTGCTAACTCAACATACAACGCGGTTATAAATGAGGATATCCCAACCGGAACAACAATTCTAACGGTAGAGGCTACTGACGACGACTCTCCACCATTTGGAAACGTGTCCTACTTTTTGGCGCTTCCTCACAAAGCAACCGACCAATTCCCCTTTTCAGTAGACGAAAAAACTGGTCAGGTATTTCTTAGCGCCAGCCACCTCGAACCGAAAAAGTATTCCTTTGTGGTGGAAGCTACTGACGACCCCAATAGTCAGTCTACAGCAAGCAGACGCGCAACAACGCTGGTAGTTATTTTTGTGGCTGATGTAAATGATCACAGTCCGGTTATTGAATTAAAACCATCAAGCAACATATCAAATGCAAAGTACACTTCGTTTGCGGAGGAATTCGTTGTTGAACTTCAAGAGGAGGTTCTCGATCCAACTGTGCTGGTGTATCTTACGGTGAGGGATAATGACGAAGGCGCCAATGCCCTCTGCTCCTGCCGTTTGAACAACTCTCCCTTCGCGGATAAGCTCGAATTAACTAAGGTAAATCAGTTGTCACCACAAACGAGTGTCTACAGGCTAGTGGCTAACAAGCCCATTGACGCTGAAGATCCAACTGTGATACAGCATTTAATTCAACCGGTAGAGGAGGACTCTTGCGTGGGTGTTGCCGGGTTCCTGGCGATAAATGTTACCTGTACTGATTCCGGGGTCAAACCACTCGCGGCTCAGGCGACGGTGTACATTGCACTGCAGGGTCGTGATGAATACCCGACAAAGTTTATTTTTCCCGATTCGTCTGAGATCTATCGTCTGTCGGTCCCTGAAAACACACTGGTGGGGACCAAGCTGATGGAGCTTGTTGTGACCGACCAGGACACCGGAAGATGTGTGCACATTTGGAAGAACCTGGGTGCCGATGAAATCCCTGTTGACACGCTCGATGGTGCTCTAGTGCTCACGAAAGCCCTGGATTATGAGACTTCCACGTCACTCACATTTACAATTTCTGCAGCAGAACATGCCAACGGCCGGCAGTCGGAACAGACGGCTTCTGCAACAGTCTTCGTCGAAGTTGTAAACGTAAACGACAATCGACCTCAATTGACTTCAGTGAAACCATTTGAAGCAAAAGCATGCCGAAAACTAACCTCCATTGTGGGTGATTTGTTCAACCAAACTGTGGGCTGCTTTGCTATCGAGGTTGAGGAGGAAGCAGAGGTCGGGTACCTAGCCGGTCAGTTGACGGCTTTCGATGCCGACACACCTAACACTACGAGTGGATTTATTTTCAGCTTAATTGGAGCTTACGCACCCACGATTTCACAGAAAGAGGACAAACTACTGACATCGCCTATTGCAGTAACGAAGAACGGAGAACTCATTGTAACAGGACGTCTGGACAGGGAGACATTTAACTGGGTGAACTTGCTCATTTCCGTATCAGACGGAGAAGAGAGCTCTCTCTCGCTTGTTCGCGTCAACTTAGTTGATATTAATGACAATCGTCCAGTCTGGCAATTTCCCTCGCTCACTGATTACCACATTTCCGTAAGTGTTTTTGCTCAGACCGAGAAAGTTATTTCCAGGGTACAAGCGCTTGATGCCGACTCAGGAATCCTGAATGGCGCCCTTGAGTATGGGATTCTGCCCCAACCACAAAGTATGGCAGGCTTTTCAGGAAGCAGTTTACTGAAAGACCAACTCATTCATTCCTTGTATGGAGCACATCTGTTTTCCATAAATTCACACACAGGAAAACTGTCCGTGAAGCAGACCCTGCCTAACCAGACGAATATGCCTTACCGCCTGGACATAACAGCAACAGACAAGGGGAGACCCCCGTTACAGTCCACGGCCCACCTTCTAATCTCCATAACAGATAAAGCGTTTACTGAACTCCAGTCGATCCAGCCAAACTTCATTGTGAGTTCAAATAACCTTCAAAACGATGGTGTTGAAACAGCCATGCCACCATCTTCGAATTCAGTCACAGAGAGATCTGAATTGCAAGGTTCCCCGAAAAATGTTAAAAATTGGATTCAAATAATAGGCATATCGGTGGGAGCCCTGACACTAGTCTTTTTCATTGCCATAATGGCCTTCGTGTTCTGCAAGCGAATGCAAGGTGGAAGCCGGTCTCTTTATCAAAAGTCCTCCAAACCAATAGAGCTCCAGTCACATCGAGAAATGCAGGGTTCTCCAGAAGTGGGTTCTCCAGTACACGAGTCACTGCTAGGGCAGACGGGGGTTAAGGGAGCAGCCGTAGCTTCCGCGACCGGCCCACACCTATCCGCACCCCCAGCATCCTCTCCTTTAGCCCCTTCACTTCCTGTGATCGGCATTCCCGCCTGCTCAATAGCCCTCAGCACAGGCGACCCCACTCAGCTAGATGCAAGCAATTCAAAGAACTTACCCGTTATTGTCAGCCTCGCTGTGTTGCCCGCCGACAACCGCTTTCCCGAACCCACCGAGTACGTGGTTATCTCTGACGGTGTAGCAGTGGATACCCACAAACCCGAGTGGCAGGTCGTCAGCACAACTTCGGCTGGAAATGCTCTGATGCACGGAGAGGAGTGGATGCAGTAAAATTCTTCCCTTTTGTATGACCCTCTTGAAGGTGAGCATTCCATGATGATAGCTACATTAGCCTACTTTTCTTTTGACTCTCCGTATTATGCGGAGGTGACAGAACGATTTTGTACCAATTTATTCAAGGCAAATCTGATTCCTCTACTTATACTTTTTTGTGTTTATCTGATGTGCAAAATACTTATTGTAACACCTGAAATAAGTCAATTTGCAAAGTGGTACGTGGTGGTTTAGATGGGAGCCAGGTGGATTTGTCAAATTTCGAGAATTTCTTTTTGATTTAACAAGTGTTTGCGCATCCTGTGATTCATTTAGCTTCCATATAAAATGATTTTGCTGGAAAAAAGTGGATTATGCCGAAACAAAGCACGGACGAATGGGTAAATTGTTCCTACGAACTTTCTTTTACGCTTTAGCCAAATCTTCATTTCCACCCAAATCTGGACTAAATAACACAGTGAGTTTTAAAAAAAAAGAAATGCACAAAATGCAGTATTCATGTTGACACGGTATTTACCTGTTGTCAGAGAGCGAATTTATGCGAGAATTCGAGCACTAGCAGACGGATCTACTTTCGGTTACAGCTAATTTGCCAACTTTAAACCCGATAGCTATGCCTCATGCCATGAATAGTGCATAAAAACTAGAGCGAATTGTTGCCTTCTATAAATACCCTATTTTCTTGACTCCTGAGCAGGGTTGAGTACAGGAAGGACACGGCTACAGCAGTTGCAAATAGTCACAATACTTGGGTTCCAGGACAAGTAGTAGGTGCTGATTTGATTAAAAAACGCACTCAAACAGACAAGAACTAATATGTTTGAAGCAGAACTTCGGACAACGATTTCACAGGATTAATCAACTAAAATTAGTCACAATCCTTGGCCCCACTAGGATTTCGGTTTATACATTTTATTAGTAAAGAGAGATCTATCCATAAGTAGGCATTTTCGAAGTTTTTTTAACCTAATTTAAGCAAATTTTAGTCGTATGGACAGAATCGACATCAGCGTAAGTCGATTTCGAACCACATTCAAAAGCCACTTAAATTGTTTGATCATGTTGAAAGGAGAGAGCAGGGAGCATATACCAGCAACTACGTCAAATAAGTTTTACTAAAACAGCTCATAACTTCCCCATCATCGGTAAACGCGAGTTATAAAAGGGCTAGGATAATCCAAAGTCAGAGCGTTGTCGTGTGGGCGCTATGACTGCTCGCGTATCAAAGTCAACTCTACTTTTAAACTATTTTTAAAAACAAAGATAAAGTGGTAAAGTCTGTGGGAGAAATTTGAGCGAGTGTATGAAGTATCAATCATTAAAAGTGCGAACTTTGTTCTACATTTACTATTTCGTGAGTAGCTGAAATCGGAGTGATTTCTGCCCCTTAGTTGCATTAATTTAATCGCATAATTCCAATAAGAAAGATAAAAGTGGTAAGAAATGTTGACCTTCTATGTGCAAACGCTCATTGATTTGACGTCAAACCATGACAGGAAGACAATAACTAGAGTATTCTTTCAGATACTGCCAAGATATTTGACAGATACGTTTAGCTGATTTTTATTTGATGCGTAGTAAGTGATTGCGTCAGAAAATTGCAATTTATGTGACTAAATACAATGTCAATGTTTTGATTTGAGGATATAAAAATTAATTAACTTGAAAAGCATCCGTTAATAATCGTATTAGTTTTTCCGAAATCAGGAAATAACCGTAACTGGCAATTTTATGTAATGCTATGCATATTCTTCAGGATAAAAAGTCGGGATGTTTGCACAAATCTGAGTCAAGCGCACTGTTCTCGTCTTGGGGTAAAGATAAAGCTACGAAGTAATCTAGGCCTCCGATTGGTGCAAATTGATAGCGTTTTAACTAATTCGCTGGCTAAAAGTTGATCAAAATCTAGAGAAGAAGGTGGAGAGAGGGCGACAAATGCAAAGCATTTCACAATTCCATCCACTCTGTCAACCGCGGTTGCAGTCAAATGTGCATGGATGATAATGCAAAGTAGACAGGTCACAGACACTCCACACTTATCCTCCAGTGCATTAGAACACAAATCATTCCAACCACGCATA